AGGTGAGTAACAATATAAAATGTATTCCTCCTCCTTGTCAAAACCTGCCACCAACACTACCCACAATGCAACTCGACAGCCGAGACATTTAAATCATTTAAATAACCATTTAAATATGGGGATAACACGCACTTTCAAACAGTCTTTACAGGAAGGCATTCATAGTATGTACACACAAACAGTGCCAGAAGTAGTTGTGTAAAAAATGACAAAAAGAGCTTGAGAAGTTAAAATCCTGATTTCTTTCCCAAGGCAAGAGAAATTGTCAGATGCACACCTCATCCTCCAATTCTGACGTTGGAAGCACATAGGGTGAGAAGGGTTCAGGTGCTGCTCGACCATGTGACGAGCTCTTCAGGTGGATCATAATGACACCTTTGGCTATCAACAGCAGCAAGTACTTCCGCCTGAATTGCAAGCTCATTGTGTTTGTAAGAGCTGTTGAGCATCCCCAACCACAGTTCATGCTGTCCACAGTTCTATTCACAACCTGGAAGTGTGTGTGGTCTCAAGTTCCCCGACACCATTACACCAACAGCTCTGAGGTCCTTCTGCAAGATGCCTCAAAACAAGTCATCAAAGAATGTGATCATCAAGAGTAAGATGGTTAGATATGAGAAGCTGTTAACATTCATGCTGCTGGGCATCACAATGATGCTCCTCCTTTGTTTCTTGTCAGTCCTCTGTCTGTCATCTCTGTGAGTGTGTGTGAGTGTATGTGTAAGTGTGTGTCTGGGCGTGGTGTTCCAGCCTCCCTCCTGCTGCAATGATGCAATGCTACACCTGTGATTCATCCACTAATCAAGAGTCTGCAGTATATCTACCCCGGCTCTTCACACCAGCCTTCACAGATTGTTGAGTGTGGTAGAAATGCTGCAGCCAAACGCTGGCTCCAGTTTTGGTAATCCTTTGTGTCGCCTTTATTCACCTGCTTGAGATTTACATGCACACTAATTTTGTGTTGAACTGTTCATGGGTTTCATGGGTTTACAAGGGCCATGTAAACAGCATATTCCATTTGGATATTCCTAATAAAGGCGTATTCTGAATGGAGCACATATGGGATATTCCGATATTATACAGGTTTCTGGATATGCGCAAAACTGCCACTACTGGGAAACTTTGAAAAAGTCCTCTTTTGATGCAAAGATACAAAATGACACTAGCAGCTACAGCTGTTCCACTAGTTTGAAAAAGAGGAAGGGGAAGGGAGAGAGGGAAAATCCTCAATAGGAAGTATAGTACATCAATCAGTATGCACAGCTGCATGTAAACAGGACTATTGGTGGAATATTCAATTTCAATTGCCATGTCCACAGCATAGTAAGAATTGTTCTTTTTTATAATAAGGGCAAAAACCAGAATATTGTGTGCATCTAAATGAAGTCAGTGTGTCTCCTTCCTTCAGGTTCATTCCTCCCAGGATCTCCTATCTGTCTGCCTGTCGCCAGCCTAGCTCATTCTGCCTGCCCTGCTCCGCAGTGAACCTCTGGACCCATCCACTCAGCCTGTACATCATCATTTCTGAATAAGTCTATGTGAACTTTTCACTGTTGTCAGTGTTCTGTTTTTGGCTTCAGAAAATTACTAAAAACAAAAGAAGCAAAAAAACCCTCTGAGCAAACTGTTTTCAGTAAAAGAATCAGTGCAGATTTAAAGAGGAACAGGTTGCTGTTTCAGTGACACAACAATGCCCCAAAATATTTGGAGTGCAGAGCACCTGTTGCAAGGGCAATAATGGGGGAATAGGGAACAGACACCTGGAGAATTGCACCCCAGGATATACTTCCTCAAGAACCTTAAATATTGTTTGGAGAATTAATGAAGACACACAGACTCATTACTGAGTGAACAGAGTCTGAGTCACAGATGTGTGTTCACAATAAACCAAATGTTTTATTGAAATGGATGATCAAAATAGGCAGGGACTGAAAAATCATTAATAGGCAAATGGACATTTCTAAAATCAGCAAGGGGAATAAAAAATACATTATTTTTTATACTTTAGTTTTTAATTATTCTAAAAAGGCTTTAATGTAACATATGTCAGTCCAACATAAACTAAGCCAAACTGAGGAGGAGTGAGCTGAGGCCACGTCTGAAGAGGCAGACGAAACTGAGGACTGCCCTAGGTGCAGATCCTCACTGCAAAACAAAGGTGTGGTCCACATTCGTGTCCCAGTGCATGAAGAATGGGGACTTCACCACGGGTGCCTAGCCTCAAAAATATATGGCACACTGCTTCACTGAAAGGAAAAAATATATATACAAAGATTTACAAACAACCAAACAATTTGTTTGTCAAAAGAATAAGCAAAACAAACTATGAGACTCAACAATAAATAAAAGAGTAAACTAGCAATTGCAAAACAACAGGTGAACCACCTCTGGTATGATGCACTATCACACAGGATCACTTCAAAAGGTGGGCAGGACAACAGTGGGGTTCCTTGACCAACATATCAGATCAAAGCTGGAACACCAAACACAACCAACCACAGCAGGGACAGGACAGGAGCCAAAAGGGCTGAGCACAGGCCAGCAGGTGCCGTACATAATCTGGCCTGATTAGGAAATTGGTTGGGGGAGGAGGGGAGCTATTATACTTTTGTAATTTTCATTATTCTTTAAATCTTTTTTAATTTTCTATTTGTATTTAGTTTTTGTCTTTAATTTGAGATATTTTCCCCGGTTTGCTCATATTAGTTCAGTTTTTATTATTTTAAGTGTTTTTATTACAATATGGAGGGTACTAAAGACATTTCCTGTATATTTTAATTTTAGTTTAGTTAATTTTTTAAGTACCGGTAAGTATCATTTCAGTTTTTTCTAAATGTGTTTTTTATTTAAGTTAACTAAAATGAGCGTCTTTTTATTTTATTTATAAAATAGCCATTATTGACATAAAAAAAACATCGGTATAACAGTGGTGCGTGGTAGCTATTGTAGAAGCTGAAACAATTTGTGAATTGTCGGAAAGATTTTTTACCATATTCACTACATCAGCAGTTCCTCTCTCGTGGTCTTTTAATAATTGACAATCTGTGCCATACTGGCCCGGAGATCAGCCCTTTAGACAGATTTTTTTGGAAATTCATCTCATGCCTGAAGTCATGACAAAGAGGAATCCTGAAAGGGCTGGCACAATCCAAAAGTGGTTTTATTCACCTGATCACATTGCATTGCTTTCTGCAACTGTAGTTGTTGCAGTAAAATGATCCACTATATAAAACAGAAGAACTATACCAGTTTTGTCAAATAGTTTCATTGACATGCATCATTGTGTAGAACCGCTTATATGTATATGTATTTAAATCAGATTCTAGTAGAAATGATATGTTCCTTACAGTTTATAGTGATCAGAAAAGGTGGCTCTGGGTGTGTACGTGTGTGTGTGTGTGTGTGTGTGTGTGGTTTGGCAAGTGGAAAGGATGCTGGCAGAGGAAGTGCTGGATTCAGATGACTTAACAGAAGAAATGAGCTGGGTTTCTGAATTTAAACTCATTCAGTCCGTGCAAACTGTCTCCCCGTCTGGTCGATGATCCTAAGGGACTCAGTGACATGAACACATCTCTGAATTTGAATGTTATTTCTGACCTTTCCATTGATTGGCTTTCTACAGCTTGGCCTAAATGTTCCCCTACCTCCCACTGAAAATTTAAACTCAATTATTTGTGAAAGATGTGAGACTCTGTGTGCTGTCTTTGATGGGCTGCTGGCACCCTAATGACCCCCAGAATGTGCACAGGGTGACAGATTTAATTCCTTTACACAAAGATCAATGCATATGCAGTTGATTCAGAATAGCAATCAGAAAGAAGAGGTTTGGCAGTGTGGCTTTTACTGGGCGGTACATGATCATTCATTCTTTTCTTTCCCCACTTATCCCTTTTCATGGTCATATGGGACTGGATGCAATCCCAGCATGCATCGGATTGGAGATACACTACCCTTCCATCACAAGCTAGTGCATGATAACATAACATTCTATTGATCCCTGTAGGGAAATATTTTTTTATATACTGGCCCTCTCCAGTATAAAGTCAGAGGTCAGGGTCAGTAACAGAGCAGTCTTGCTCAAATAAGTGTATGTTTGCACACATAAAGGACAACATTGGTTGAAGGACTCCAGTAATTGATTAAATGTAACCTGATGACTGATGTGACTCAGCTAGTTTGTGCTTCTCTCAGCAACACACATAATGTAATGAACAAAGCAGGTGCGATTGGACATCTCCTGGAATTGAAACAATGCACCACAGCTACATAAATGGGCTGCTCTCCAGGACTAATCAGGAGAAGGTGAAATTAATTATTACCGTAACAATAAAACAAACCATCTTCTGAGGATGTGAATTTCAGAGGAATAAACACTTCTGCTGATAATCACTTGGGTGAACACATGGCCAGCTTTGCAAGTGTATAAACCTATTTGTGAATGCATGCCAAATATATCCAACAAGTGGTGGCAACAACTGATGCAACTTGAAGCAAGAGGGATTAGCTGTGCACTGAGTAAAGAAGTAATGCATTACAGTAACTCTTAGTAACGTACTTGCACTTTTAAAAAGCATGTTTTCCTCCCATTTAGGTATGTTTTGACACATATTCATATTACATATTCATATTCTTGTTCATTTGAATAGGTTTTTTTTTTCAGTCACTACACATAAAGAGAAAAGTAATGCAACAACAATTCCATTTCTTTTAACAAGCCACTGGCTTTGTTCATATTCATGTTTTGCTACTACAGGGAGACTGATGTAGCACTTCTGACCTCAGGCTCAAAATGCAGGCTGTTTTTTAATATTTAAATAGTTTACACTTTTACAGTTTTTAATGTTTCATAAACATTGAAAAAGTCGACGTAATGCACTTGGCATTAGTTGAAACTAGACACAAAATGATGTTACACATGAACTGTAGCAGCTAAATAAAATAATGAGGATGTGTGCACTGCCCCTTTAAGAATGTAGTCAAAACAAAGCGTGGACTGGCCGGCCGTAAGGAAGTGGTTTTGTTTCGGTGGCGGCTGCCCACAATAGTATGTGAGAAATGAGGGCCGCTACATATTTAAAAATCAGCTAGCTCTCTTAAAGGCGTTTTTCATTTCATAAACACTATCTTATTTTTAATTTATACTATTTTTTTTATATCGCCTCAACTAAACGAAGGATAGCTAGCTAGCTTGTTAGCTAGCTTTCCTAATACAAGCAGTCATGCCGTCCTACTCTGAACTGAGGAAAACCAACCACTTCTACTACTTCATCAAATTTACCTTAAATATCTACTCAATGCTCTTCTCGGTAAGTTTATGGTGCGTTTATTGACCAGCTTTCCATGTACCATAGTAAGCTCGTCTGAGCTGCAACACTGCCTGCTCATTGTAACGTTAGTAGAAGCGGACCACCTAATAGCATCGTCTCTCCAAACTTCATATGAGACACCTGCGTGTACCATCTGCAGACAAACACACATACCTATACATGTTTTAGAACATAACTTCAGGTATATTTGCAATCTATACAATCTACTCTACAATTCGGCATATATCCCAAACAGTGACCACCACTCTTTTGATTATAATTTTAATGTTAATAAACGGACTCGCCTCAAACTGTAGCGAACTCCCAGCTACATAGCGATACAGTGTAAGAAGGGGTATACCTGTGATTTTATTGAAATGAATTGCCGTGTGTTGGATGGGACGGATGCCGTATTTACCTTAAGACTATAATAACTGGAAAACGAGATATAGATTTGGGTTAAAACGTTGTGTATTTGTTGTGTATCAAGGCAATCTTAAATTGCCTGTTTATCTAATGGGATTCTGTATGGAATTCTCTGGATACTAGCTAAGCTAGCTGGTGAATGGTTAGCTTACAAGAAATAGATTACCACTTCAATCACCGTGCATTCTGCTGAATTGTAATCTGTTGTTAATTCAAAAATGATTGGCATTCTACTAATAAAACAATATACTAGGGTATTAATATATGTAAGTTAACGTTATTTGGTATCGGACCGGTGGCTAGCATACAGCACGGTGGTGCAGGGCGTTGGATGCAGTTAAAGGGACGATAATGTGGGTGAGTAGTTTTGCCGACAGGAAATAGGAGCAGCCTGAAAGGCGCTTTTGTTGGCCACTGAACCAAATCAGAACCGAATCAGTCATATTATGATTAAAATGAATCACATACTAAATTATGTTCTGTTATATATGTATGTATGTGTCATATAATTATACATTTAATGCCTAGCTATTTGAATTGCTATCTTAACCATGTAAACAGGTACATTTCTATACAGAGACATTGTCATTCCAAATGCAGTTGAAAAACATGTTGAGGCATGTTGAGAGCATTGTGGTTCATTTGGAATAAAGTGAGCCATTAAAAGGATATTTATCTTTAGCATTATAATATTTATAAAAATGTCACTACTCACCACAGTGTTTAAATGTAATGGTGACTGTGGCAGATGAACAAATTTTAAATTTTATCCAAATTAGCAAAGTTGTGTTGTGGCCACTTTGAATGGGATTGCCAAGCTCAGACACACATTTAAACAAGGGAGACATCCAGCGTGGTACATCAATATTCCCCACACTTCATAACACAGTTGTCTTTTAATATCTAAGAAAGCACAAGTTAATACATTTGGTTTTGGCCGGAGGGGTTGTATATTCCACCAGGGAACTAAATAAATGATCTACTCACAGACAGAACTTTGGTCTGCTTTTTGTTTGTTGAAGTGGTCGGGTTTCATTTGTGTTCCAGCAGCTGCTAAAAATGCTGGAAGAGCCTTGTCAGGCCATTAAAAGTAAAGATGAGTGATCCTCAGGCTTCATCACCCCACTTACAAACCCCCGTGTTTTGTCTCTGAAGTCATGTTTGCTCCATCTCCTCCCCTGCACCACTTTCATCTCCAGGAACATTTTCAGAATAATGTTCAGTTTGCACCACCACAGTCTGCCCAATTCCCTCTGTTTGTTGAATTTTTACACCCTAAATCACATTATTGAATATGACTCCAAAACATCAGGAGTGTGATCCCATTAGCACGCCAGAGTCCCTTTCATATGATCTGCCTCTCCCCTCTACCACCCCCCCCCTTTTTTTGCTATGATTTAGGACAGCGTGGCCCAGCTCAGCTCAGCTCAGCACACAAAAGCTCCTTTAGCCCCAAGCTAACTGTGTAGACTTAATTAAAGCTATCTTTGCTGTTGTAGTGTTAAGTTTGGTTAATGCAATTTAAGTGGGATTCTTAATGACAGGAGGAAAGCTGCAGGTGTCCAGTGGGACTCACTCTGTCTCCTCCAGTGGAATATGAATAGGCCTGGTTGATTTAATTTTTTACTCAGGGTTAGTTACAATTAGTTAAATTGTCACACCATACTACAAATAACAAGAAATGACATTTATCTTTGTATATGAGTATTTTAACAGAATAATTGCTAGCTTCAAAAGCTATTCTTACTGTAAAACCGGCTGGAACACACACCATAGGCTTTTTCCTGGATCCATGTGCCTTTGCACAGTGTCACTTGTTGGAACTATTAGAAGTCACTGGGATCTATCGAAGTGCAAAGTGTCCCGTCTCTCCAATGTCTTGTGATGACTGATATTATGCTAGCAATTCCAGATTATGTCTTTTTTTACGGGATGATAACAGAAACCTTTTGTACAAAGTCTGCTACTCATTCTTATCTTCATTACTGCAGCAGCGAAGGTAGACAGGCTGACATTGGCTCTGGGAGCCAAGCCAAATGTATCAGCCAGTGCTTTATGGAGGGTTGTGAGCAGTAAATGGAGATGAAGTAGATGGACCCTGCTCTTAAGGTAGATTGCCTCCGTTTCCAATTGAAAATCAATAACCAGGAAGAAAACTGTGTGTATTACTTCTCTTTTTGTAGCACTCGCATTAGTTAGATATATGCAGGGGTACCACACTCTAAAGATATTTTACAGATTTCAGCATGCACAAAGGGTTAGACTTAATTAGTCCTGCTAATCATTTTAATGTAATGTTCTTTATGACAGTAATTTACTGTGAGGCACTGCAGTCTAACCCACTGGCCAGCTAGATGCAGAACACAATTTTGAGGTATTTGTACTTGAGTATTTCCATTTTATCCTGCTTTATATACTCCACTCCATATCAGAGGGATATTATACTTCTTACTCCACTACATGTGTCAGCTATAATTACTAATCACTTTACCAATTCGAGATTTTACATTAAAACATGTATAATAAGCTTATAAAAACAATATATTGTTAAAGATTAAACCAGTAAAACAGACACTGTTTTAAGGACATTTTAGATCTAAGAGTTGCTTGCTGTTGACACCAAAGAGTGATTAAATAACTTCTCAAGGCCCAAAGAGGTAAAATTATCCAGAGATCAGAGAAAAGTCCAAAAATGAGCAAACATTTGTGTTGCAGAACTGTGTTTTTGCTTCTTTCCTACCCTATTTATAGTCACATGACCAGGTTTATGTTGTGGCCCATTGGATGGGGAAGACACCTTTTGTTAGGAACCAGAGTACTAAACTGTCACTGTGACTGTACATGAAGTAGTAAAAACTACCTCCACCTCGACCGACTACAACAGTAAAATGCATCAGTATTCACAATCTATTAGTGTATATACAGTGCTGTGAAAAAGTAATTGCCCCCTTTCTGATTTCTTATTTGTTTGCATATTTGTCACACGTAAATGTTTCAGATCATCAAACAAATGTTTATATTAGACAAAGATAACCCGAGTAAATAAAATGCAGTTTTTTAAATGATGATTTTAATTATTATGGGGAAAAAGCTACCAAACCTACCTGGCCCTATGTTGAAAAAGTAATTGCCCACAACTGCAATCAAGCGTTTGCAATAACTGGCAATGAGTCTTTCACATCGCTGTGGAGGAATTTTGGCCCACTCTTCTTTGCAGTTGTTTTAATTCAGCCACATTGGAGGGTTTTCAAGCATGAACAGCCTGTTTAAGGTCATGCTGCAGCATCTCAATCGGATTTAAGTCGTCCGGACTCACAAACCGGGCCATACGGCCGT